TGAAACTCACCATCAGATAAGGGTGTGTATACCTTAGAAAAATGTGCTTTTTAAATTTGGCAAGTGTGCACTAGAAATAGCAATAACATTGGCACAGAAAAGCAACTGGATGTGTGATGGATTTTATATAGAATTACTTTACAACAACAACAAAATTCATCTTTACAACAGTTCTTAAGTAGATATATTTATATATATTTTACTCATAATGAAACAAGACATTTACACCTCATTTAAAATCTAAGTGCAAGCTAGTTCTTGGTGGACAACAGTGGACTTTTACCTCAATAAGCTGCCTCTGGGCTTCATTGATCTGGTTAACGAGGCTGGGATTATCCTTCACCAGTTCCTTGATGGTGTCCGTGTGGTTGAAGGTGATAAGCAGTAAATCTTGTGGACGTGGACACAGAACGATCTGATACTTAAAGGCCATAGTCATCAAATCGTAAAGCTACAATAAAGACAACAACACAAACTTACACAGGAAATTGGTAATAAATATAGACTAAACATTTTTGTGCCACATAAACTGAAAAATGTGCTATATGTGGTCTAAATTAACTGGTTTTATTCAAGTCAGAAATATTATTTAATATGACTGAATGTAACTGACTACATTTAAGTCATTTTATCTGGGTTGTAACAAGTAGAAATAGCACAGTTTTATAGTTGCATTACACGTTGTAAAATGCTACTGGTTCATAGATCAATTTAATAATGCTAACAAAAAGATTTTTTGTTTACTTAATGTTCAGAAGTACAATGTTCCGAAACACAAGTAATGCATTTTGTTGTGTTTAATGCGCTTTCTCTGATTTGTTTTAATTTAAGTCCCCATGCTGCATGTTTTTGTTTTTGTTTGTTTAAATAGATCTAGACTGAAAAAAACATTTATTCAACATCTTCCCAGCATGCACTGGGGCATGAAACTTGATATAGTTACATTATTTGCTTGCTTTGTTTACATTGCCTTTTTTTGGTCATATTTAATAACCTGTTGATCATGGCAGATTTTGATAGTTGACCCAAAAATGAAAATTTGCTGAAGCTTTACTCACCCACAGTCCATCCAAGATGTAGATGAGTTCATTTGTTTATTGGATTATACGACAGTTACAGTGACAGTTTAAAGTTAAAACAACTTACTGATGGATTTGTTTCTTACAAACACACAACTTTTCACTTAAGACATTCATTGATGGTCTGGAGTCGTGTGGATTACTTGTTTTACATACTTTATTGTGATGTTTTTATCAGTGATTTGGACTCTGATGGCACCCATTCACTGCCAAAGATCCATTGATGAGCAAGTGATATAAGGTTAAATGTCTGTTCCAGTGAACAAACCGGATGGCTTGAGTGTAAACAAATTTTCAGCAAAAGTCCATTTTTTGATGAACGATTCCTTTAAGCCATGGCAAACTGACATTTTAAGTTCAGTCAAGACTTAAATGTAAGAAGCCATGCAAACTGTTGCCTAAATGTATTGGTGTTTTTCAAGTAAAAAAAACACACACATTTTCATTTTAAATAGCTGGACAACCAGTCCTACTTCTGGCCTGGTGCATACTGTACATGTACAATCAAGACCATTCATTTTTACTATTTCTTAAAGTACTTTAAGGAATTATGTTTAATCTGAGTAAATCTTTCTCTAATAATGTATTTAATTACTGACACTCTAAGAAAACTCAATGCAAACAAACAAAAAAAAGGAGTGTGATTCACAATTGTTTTTGCCCGGGGAGAGGGTGAGTTCATACCTTATCCATGCTGGCCGGGTTTAGACACATAATAGAGGCGTGTGCTAGCCGTGTCAAAACTGTCCGCAGGGCTCGGTGGGAGTACAGATCCTGCGGCCGCAAGAGCTCCTCTAGAAAAGCCTTATTGAACATAGTGGCCACTATATCATTCATAACTAGAAAGAGCATGAGAAAGATGAGTAAGAAAAAGAGAAACATTGAGGCAGGAGTCAAATCCTAAATATCCCACAGAAAGAAATGGAAAGAATATGCTAAAGTTTGCATTATGAAAATGATTTTTGTACATTAGTTAATTATGGGTTTGGTTATGAAATACAGACATTATATTAACCTTAATTTTGGATAATAAAATGTAGTATAATATGACTTTTTCCGATTATTGATTGCTTTTGGTACATGTAGCACTGTGTGGATGACATATATTTATTTATTTCTTAACGAAACCCCTTAGAATTTCACAACATTTCATGATTCTTCCACACATGCTTTTTCTGTTACAAAATAAGCTGCATGTAACATATATAAAATATTTGGAACAAACTAAATAGGAAGGAAGGTAATGAAAAAAAAAGAATGTACCTCTTTTCCTGTCATCATCTGTCCAACGACCTGCAACAGAGCATTTAACCTGTGGTAAGGCCAAATTTCTGTTACATCTGAGCAAGCACTTCTCCTTCACTCAGTCATAAGACAGGGCATAGTTTAGTGCAATTGAAAATTAGGCATGGTACTGTACATGAATCTGTCAGTTAAGCAAGCTACCTTCTGACAGCAGCTGAGATAACATCAAATCATGCATGTGAATAGATATATTTCTAAAACGGTCATTATATTTGCATTAGAAATATATTTTAATTATATATTTGGAGACAGACAGACAGACATATAGATAGATAGACAGATAGTTAGATTAGGCTACCTTTTTAAAGTAACTTACTAAATATTACAAAGATTTGCATAAGGCAAATATGCACGATGATTGACATGACATAATGGGAATAAGATGGCTGACAATTAATGGGACACCAATTGTGGATATTTATGGAGCGAAGGTTGGACTAGTTATTGGCAGCTTGCTAAAGCAGGATTCAGGTAGATATGCCGCTATTATATCTATTATCGTTACCTCTCCGAGTTTTATCATCGTTGTCATCCTGCGCTCGGAGGCGCTGATCCAGAATGTAGATCATTTCTCCGCCGAGGTTTATGATGAGCAAAGGAAGAGTTCTTTGAGACATGATGAAAAGAGTTATTGTACGGTTTTATTAGCGGCTCACTTATTTAATAAACCACAGGAACAAGTTACTGCAGTTGGCGCGGCGCGTGTTTTTTTATCAAGTTCATTTTCTTCTGGCATATGCCGCTTCTAGCGGGGCATTATGACGTCACGTAATGCCACGCTGAGTCTGACCCACTGCTCCTGCGCGCTCGCGCTCGCGCTCACACACCTGTCATTACAGGCGCGCGCGGTGGAGGAATTATGGCAAGTTGAGCCAGCCACCCCTTGTTTCTAGGCAACCTTATACAACATTTTTGATATGCCCACAATTAGATCAAGTGTTGTCCGTTTACTCACCCTGTGATGGAGAGAGGCCCATGAAATAATTGGTAACTACGTTTAGGTTCCAAAAACAGTTTTTTTTTGCTGTTCAAAGTGATTTTTAATGTTCAAGGACGCATGCTTCTTGTGTCTGAACAATAACAGACAAATCTGAAAAAAAAAAAAAAATCACAGTGTGTTTGTGCTTTAGGAAGTTATAATATGAGGCTATACTGTTAGCGTGATGTTAGCTCTAAACTATTGGATGATACAAGTTTGTTAAAATGGTAAGAGTGGGCCAGTGGATCACCCCTTATAAAGGATTATCTTACTGTATTTCTATGTTATATTTCATTTGTTTTAGACCAAACATTTTTGATTTCGTTCTTTGTTTTGAATTTGATTTTTTTCTGAAAATTTTAAATAGACTTTGTTTTTGAAAATTGGCCATTGAAGTTTTTATGAAATTGTATTTCCCTGCACAAGGCTCCAGTCCATCACAAGGCTCACAAATAGATTTTAAGAAGCCATTTTTATTGAATTTCTCTTCGTTTGATATAACATGAGCTGAAAGTGTTCAGTTTTACTTCAGCATAATCAGTGGCACAGTTTAACTCAATGTGGCTCAACTTACCCTCTCCCTAGGCTCAGTTTACCCCTCAAGGGGCAAGTTGAGCCAAGAGACCACTTTTTAAATATTTTTTTTAATGGAAAGTCATAATTTGAAAGCTGTTTATTTGAGATATAAAGTGATTATTCCCAAAGATGCACCACATCCTGAAATGTATGTACATATTTAAATTGGACCCATTACGGTCATGTGCTCACTTTAAACACACCGTAAAAACTGGCTCAACTCACCCTGCTCTCCCCTAAATTCTGTTGTATTATTCATTCATTCATTCAATATATTGTTCTTTCATTCAGTTAATAATCTATTAATTAATTTTGGAGACAGCAGGTGTAATTTTCATACTTTTTACTAGTAAAAAAAATCATTTCTTGATGTATTTATTTCCATTTTTCCAAGTTATGAAACAACATAGGCCTAACTGTAAAATACTTAACATTCAAACATTTCAAATCAAATTTTTAGCTAACTTTTTTTTAAATAAATGTATAACATTTCAAATGTGTGACAACTTGCCCCAAGCTGACATTTAAAAATATCCTGTTGCTGAAAACAATGTACCCATTATTTAATATCTACCTTCCTCACATAGTAGGCCTATACAATGCCTTGCCATTATTTTAAAGGTACCAAAATGCTATTTGTGTAAGACATTCATTCATAATTGCTCTTAAAAACTTTATACACTCTTTAAAAATAAAGGTGCTTCACGATGCCATAGAATAACATTTTTGTCTAAATGGTTCCATAAAGAAACTTTAACATCTGAAGAACCTTTCTGTTTCACAAAAGGTTCTTTGTGGCGAAAGAAGGTTCTTCAGATTATAAAAAGGTAAGAAAGAGATGGTTCTTTAAAGAACCTTTGACTGAATGGTTCTTTGTGGAACCAAAAATTTGAAGCACCTTTATTTTTAAGAGTGTAACTGACAGATGAATTTGAGGATTTTCATATGCCGTCTGTACACAATGAATGAATGCAAACTATTTCAGGGCTCATTTTACATTGACTGTTTAGGCAAATGTAGTCAAATGCTGTATAACTGCCTCAGTTAAAGATGTAAAGTATATGGCAAAAGGAAAGACTGCAAACATCACCATTTTCTTTGACTTCTTGAACTGTCTGATGCCAAGGTCAGAAAAATTCAGTGGATGCTAATTCTTCTAATCTTCTACAAATTATATTGCGCTAGTAAGTAATAATTTTTTGTTGTTGTTTAAAAATCATGATCTAACACATTTCTAAATATGAAATACATGTTTAGTGTGTTTAGTTTGGCATGGTGGCTAAATGCAAATTACTTTTACAGGGAACTCTTGTACTGTAAACATGAGGAACTGTTGAAGTTTGGATTTCTCAAGGTATTACAGGTGATATTTGCTGTCAAGAGCATGAAACTAGCTTTTAATGATTACACTGCTAAAAATGTTTTACAATAGCAATGTTCAATACAGTTACCAGTGATTTGAGCTCTTTTGAAATATTCAGAGACTCAATATCAAATTACAACCTAGATGATTATAAGCTTTTCATCTATATCAACTAACAATTTTTCAGAAGTACTGTTGCAGAAGGAAACTAAAAATAATGGGAAAACTTCAGTACGTTTCTGTGTTTATAGTGTAAGTAGCATTGTGTTAAGTAGAATATGATTCTTCTGATTCTGGCATTTTTGAAAATTTTGAGGAAGAAGAAACTCAGTCCACAGAAGGTGGAGAAACTTCGGCACAAGAAGAATCTCTCTGCAGAATGTGGAGAAACTTCAGCACAAGAAGAATCTCAGTCCACAGGAGAGGAACATCATGCAGAAGGTGGAGAAACTTCAGCACAAGAAGAATCTCAGTCCACAGGAGAGGAAAATCATGCAGAAGGTGGAGAAACTTCAGCACAAGAAGAATCTCAGTCCACAGGAGAGGAACATCATACAGAAGGTGGAGAAACTTCAGCACAAGAAGAATCTAAATCTGCAGGAGAGGAAAATCATGCAGAAGGTGGAGAAACTTCAGCACAAGATGAATCTCAGTCCACAGGAGAGGAAAATCATGCAGAAGGTGGAGAAACTTCAGCACAAGAAGAATCTCAGTCCGCAGAAGGTGGAGAAACTTCAGCACAAGAAGAATCTCAGTCCACAGGAGAGGAAAATCATGCAGAAGGTGGAGAAACTTCAGCACAAGAATAATCTCAGTCCACAGGAGAAGAAAATCATGCAGAAGGTGGAGAAACTTCAGCACAAGAAGAATCTCAATCCACAGGAGTGGAAAATCATGCAGAAGGTGGAGAAACTTCAGCACAAGAATAATCTCAGTCCGATGCACAGCATGACCATCACATGTGAACCAGTGATAGTAATCACGATCACAAGCTCTTTGGATTGACTTTCCCTCCACCTAGAAGAAAAGAACCAGACTGAAATTCCTTAGGAGACCTTTTAATCTCTCTGGTCCTCACAGAACATGTCCTTATGTTCACAGAATGGCACAGAAACTGTCTTTTACAGATGTAGATGCACCAAAAAGGCTTATAAACTAATATCAGTCCATTGTTTAACTCCATATCATGTATGTAACCCACACATTCGACTATCATGTTCTAATCACTTATTGTGTATGTCTTTTTAATAACTATTGAATAGCTTAAGGGTTCATATTCATGTTTAGTATGTGTGTGTTTGAATCTTCTTGGCTTAAACGTTTCTTCCAATCAATTCTTTGTCAAATGTATCATATTCTTGTTATAGAAATTATGTCCAAAATTATACTCTGCAAGAGCGGGAAAACTTGGACCATGTGACTGATGAGATGACATTTGATTTATGTATTGGGAGGAGAAATATACAACACCCCGAGCAAAGACAATATCTAATTGGTCAAGGCACCATTTGGGATGTGTCCAAAAGCCCAGTTTAAATACTCAGGACACCATCAAATCATTTCTTTCCGCATCTAGCTTCTTAGCTTTAGCTTTTAGTCATGCTTTTAGTCATCACTTTTAGCCATGCGGCTTTTTAGCTTTTTTAACTTTTCGCTTCTATCTTTTAGTCATGCTTTTAGTCATGTTTTTTTTTAGCTTTTGCTTTTCAGCCACTGCTTTTTAGTCATGGCTTTTTGCCATTACTTTTGCGTTTTTAGATCGCCGTTCCAGCGTGCTTCGGCCTGCAAGCCCGCTGCTACTTAGCCACGGTGAGAAGAAAACCATCTAGTCTCGTTACTTCTATTCTTCTACTTTAATTTATTTTCTTTTCCGTTGAGAGTTTCGTGTTCTGAGTTAAGTTTTGCCGCAACTCCGTGTCTCCGAGTTCACCTCGAGTCTGTGACCGACCGCTTCAAAACTTCAACCAGCCCACAACTCCGCATCTTCAGCCAACGCCCAACCACTGGCTCCCAAGAGGTCACTTCAATGACTACTGAACTTCCATCCAATCACCAACCTCGGGAAACCCCCTTTTCGAGACAACAAAGGGAACCCCTTTACACAGGCAACACAAGTAACTTTTATGCGTTAGATTAGTTTATATTGTCTTAGATTTATCCAATAGTCTTATTCATATTGAAAAGAGAAGTATCTTGTGTTTTATGCTTACAAGTTATTATCTTAAACTGCCGATCTTGTTCCTGTGCTAATAAATAGTGTTTTCAGTATACTTTGGATATTAATATCCATTGTAGAATTGATGTTATACAGCTCGTTCAATGAATCGCTGGCCGACTCAGTGATCAGCCATAAAACTGTGATTCTGTCCAAATTCCCTATAAAATCTTAAATGATTCCCTTTGAGCTAAACTGACCTGTTTCCCTTACATACCTCTCTTTTATTGTGTGCAATATCATGTAGCACTTTCTGCTTACAGTGCAATATTTCAGTGCAATATTTGACTGTTCGTTTTGCCTTTTTTTGTATTGTTTCTTTGGAAATTCTACTTTAATTGTTTCCTAATTAAATTAGATGTTTAGCTTGCACTAATTTATGTGTGATTGCTCTGTACGGATTGCTCTAATCTTGCTGTACTTTTAGTATAGTGACAATAAAGAATCTTGAATCTTGAATGGTAGGTTGCTTGGGTGCGCGCAGAAGGTGGAGAAACTTCAGCACAAGAAGAATCTCAGTCCACAGGAGAGGAAAATCATGCAGAAGGTGGAGAAACTTCAGCACAAGAAGAATCTCAGTCCACAGGAGAGGAACATCATGCAGCAGGTGGAGAAACTTCAGCACAAGAAGAATCTCAGTCCGCAGAAGGTGGAGAAACTTCAGCACAAGAAGAATCTCAGTCCACAGGAGAGGAACATCATGCAGAAGGTGGAGAAACTTCAGCACAAGAATTACGATAAATTGCCACAAAGTTCACGCAAGACCCCAACCATCTCCTTTACTTTAAACATTATTAGTGGAGTATCTTTATAGAATAAACAATTACCACTTAAATATTGAACAGTTCTAGTTTTTTTTTTTATCTCTATGAACTACAACATATGTATAAGCAGCACTCAAACACATCCTGTCAGTCAAATAAATTATACATACAATACATCATTCATTATTTGCATGTCAAGTACAAAAAGACTGAAACAAGAAGGCAGGTGAGAGGAGACTAGTTGTAATCTATGCAACTAACTGTGGTCTGAGTCAGTGTTCATTTAGGGGTTTCCCTTTTTTGCAAACCACAAAAGAAATTACTTTTAACACATACCAAAATGTTCATGATTCTGTAATTGTTGTTCTCTTGACATTTGCGTTTCTTGATCCCAAGATAACATCAACTAAATGTGATAGTGTGAAAACATGCTGAGGAACTAATAACCTGGAGTAATAGTGAGAATTTAAAAAAGCACAAAGATTACACCCTCACCTCTCACTGTCTTATGCTGTATATAGAAAGGGGAAGTGAAATTTACAAATGTAGAACATGTGAATCAATGTTTGCTCAATAACTTTTTGCCTGTTTCAGTTTAATTGAAGAAACTAATTCTTAGAACAATTTCTTGTATTGTTTAAAAGCAATAAATATATAAATAAGTTAATGTTGTTATTATTATGATTTTATGAATTCAACAGTATCACACACACACATTAAAAATAATAAAATGTTAAGTTGCATTAATAAAACAGACTAGCCTATACATACTTGGTCGATTCTTTGCAAGTTAATCAAATACCTTTATCTTCTTATAAAGAACTATATTTTAAATAAATTAAAATAGTTTTGGATGTTTCATTAGGCTATAGTTTCTTTAGATCAAGTATTGACTTATGGGTGCAGTGTTTTCTAGGAAATAAAAGTGGAACTTAAAGTTCCCATATGACATCAGTTCTCATATGATGTGTAAAACACTTGATTCTAATGGAAACTTTTATTTTTAAACGAGTTAAGGAAAAAACAGGTACTTTAGTATCAACAGCATTCTTTTACAGTTTACATGCAGCTAGTGGGTACATTATGACTAAAGAAAAATATTTTTATAGAAATAAAAATGCTAGCATGTTTACAAATACTACAACATTTTACAACTTCTTATTTTATAGTTAATTATTTTTAGATAGCTTTTGCCTTTTAAAAAAAACTAAGTCTTTTATATCGTTATTATTCTTAATAGAGGAAGAAGAGAAATAAATCGAAGGCCTCCATGACGTCAGCACGTGCGTGAATTAGCTACTTCCTGGTTTTGAGTTTGTGACTTTAAAGGTGTGCCGATTCTCTCTCCGGTATTTTGCTGCTCTGGGGTCAACAGGAACGAAACTTGCGAACTTATTAACTCTATTACAAGAAGGCAGCAGCTCGAAACACAAAGAGAACGGACCAAGTAAAGGTACGTATAACTTATTTTGTTTGTAACTTTTCCAGCTTATATATTTGTACATATAAGTATACTAAGCGATAGTTTCGGTATATTGACGTTTTTAACAGCCGACATAGACATTTATATAGTAAAGTTATAGTAAACTGTTTCATATCTACTTGTATTGTGATTTTATGTAGAAATTAATTTTTGAAATATTGGTAAACAAAGTGGTGAGGTAAAGTAAGCGGACAGCGCGCGTCGATGTGCGCACCGCAAATAAAGAATGAAAACAATGAAATAATGTGATGTCGCTGTTGTAACTGTCAGTATTTCATGATTTTAAAAGACAAAATGAGTTATGAGACCTTCTCATTTTAAAGTTAGGCAGTGAAGTCTAAAGTTTCACGTATGAAAATTAAATTTCTTGTGCACTAACAGACTTAGATTCATTGATTTTATAGCTTGTTTGTTTATAGATGGTAGCGATTAGTACGTATTTATTATGTTTCTTTTTTTTTTTCTTTTTTAGAATTTATATATTTTATACGTTTTAATATATATGCAGACTCATTTATGTTTAAGTTATTTATTTTTTATAGATTGAATATATTTTAATAAAATATTGTTTATTGAAAAAATATCTATTGAATAGTAGTTATAACAGCGCGCGTCGATGTGCGCACCGCAAATAAAGAATGAAAACAATGAAATAATGTGATGTCGCTGTTGTAACTGTCAGTATTTCATGATTTTAAAAGACAAAATGAGTTATGAGACCTTCTCATTTTATAGGTAGGCAGTGAAGTCTAAAGTTTCACGTATGAAAATTAAATTTCTTGTGCACTAACAGACTTAGATTCATTGATTTTATAGCTTGTTTGTTTATAGATGGTAGCGATTAGTACGTATTTATTATGTTTCTTTTTTTATTTTATTTTTTTAGAATTTATATATTTTATACGTTTTAATATATATGCAGACTAATTTATGTTTAAGTTATTTATTTTTTATAGATTGAATATATTTTAATAAAATATTGTTTATTGAAAAAATATCTATTGAATAGTAGTTATAGTCAGTTTAATTGGTTTAAAATTCATAATTAAATTCAGAAATGTTTGAAATATTTACCAGATTGTCACATCAGGTAAATTCATTGTCGTGTGATATTTAGATAATTAGATGTGTTGTATTGTTATCTGAGGCTATAAATAAATATTTAATTAGCTATGAATGCTTTGTTTATCATATCTATTATTGCACATTCTCTAAACAGGTGTGACTGATAAAGACGTTTTTCTGGATGAAGAGATGAGTGCTGAAATCAGCACCATCCCCACGTTACAATTGTATTTGGATTCCTTTTGGTCTTCCAGCGTAGGATCCCGCAGCTCTGACGTAAACACCACCAACACATGGGTAACAGCACCCACATCTTTGTACAGCCCTCCCGTTTCCAGCAGCATTAGAATGGACCCAGCCCAGTCCAGCCCGACTCCAGATGAATCCTCAGAACTGGGCTCTGAGTTTCAGGCCCAGCTCGACCTGTTCCTCAAGCTGGGGTTTTCCCAAACGCAGGTCCGCGCCACTTTCCTGAAACTTGGCCTCAACGCAGACACCAACAGGGTTTTGGGAGAGCTGATACAGGCTGCTGGGGAGTCAGAGGAGAGAGAGGAACCTACAGCCTCCCCGGTGCTGGTTTCACGTGGGGATGCTTCCAGTAAAGTCCGAAGTGCCCAAAATCACTGTCATAATGCTCCAGCAGTGTCAAGCGCTCCGGAAGAGCTGGTAGAGGATGAGGACGCACTCAGACCAATAGTCATTGATGGGTCTAATGTAGCCATGAGGTAAGCTTACTGTAAACATGGCATGCGATAAGATTTTTTAAGAAGTGTTTACAGTGACATTTAAGTCTCTCTTCTACCACTTTGCTATTGAAGTTGTTTACAGTAAATTTAAAGGTGATGTTATGTTGATGTTGACCTTTCTCTTTATGTCAGATGTTTAACAGGACATTTAAATTTAAAAGATTAAAAGATAGCACTTTTTTTTTGTAAAAGTAAAACTGAACATAAACTTTAAATTTGGAATAATTAGGATTTAATGTTTTTGAAAGAAGTCTCTTATGCTGCTGAAAAGTCAGCTTTGATATCACATGAATAAATGATGTTTGAAAATGTATAAAAATCGAAAACTGTTCATTTAAACCAAGAATATTTCACAAAAATGACAATTTTTACTGTATGTTTATTCAAATAAAATGCAGGTTTGGTGATCATGAGACATCTTTCGAAAACATTAAAAAAAATCTTGCACTTCCATTTAATAAGACATTTTTGTTTAGAATATATTAAAGCTGAAATGGCAAATTTGTGCCAATAGCATCAACAAACGGAAAATCAAAAATGGCTGAGCGATATGTTGCTGTGTTGGGCTAATGTTTTGGAGTAATGATTTAATGTATTTTACTTTTTTTTTTTGGCTTAATTACAGTTGGTTGTAGTTATATAGTTAGTTGCAAATAATTATGATGATAAAACAATCAAGGAATATTCATTATGTTATGGTTAAGCGGGTTTGTTTACTGTAAAATAGATGAATGGAGTTTTAAAATTGAGACTTTCTATTTTTAAGGAACAGCTTTGCCAAAATTTAAACCTTTTACCTTCAGCCTTCAGTAATTGTGTCATATTTGAGAGGTGATAAAACCCAGTATTTCCTCATACATTTCAAGTTAATATGCAAATCAGGTCCATTTCCTTCTTTTTTCCCCCCTGAAAACAGAGGTGGATTTGTGTTTATGTAAAGGTGTACAACTTGACTGAATATCTGGTTTTCGTGTTAATCCACTAAAAATGGATGAACGTTATTTGCTATTCATTGGACAGACTGGATAGTATTTTAACACTCAACTTTTATTATTTAATTATTTATACACTTTTTACACATTGCACAATATTATTTTTCCTCCTCAAATGCTTCGCGTAGGATTTGTTGAGTAATTCATTCCAAATGTCAGACCAGAACATCATGAAGTTAGATCATATGTTGCCAGAACAAATTATATTGATAGACTATATAGATAGATTTTTTTTTTGTGTGTGAGAAGACTTATTGAAGAATTACACCGCGCATACGTGTTTAATGATCTTTTAAAAACCCTCCCTTTGTATCTCACCTGCATTTGCAAGTGGAGTCCAGATTTGCCCCTGCAGGCTCCTGTATCTGTCATCACTCCAATATGCAAATAATCTTATATGCAAATCAGCATCGTTTCCCGTCCCCTCCCTTCCCGCTCTTACTATCCTGAAGGAGAATGTCTGTGAAAAGAACGCTGTGTAACAGAACAGGCCCGACAGCATTGCAACACGGCGTCCGATTGGATAACTCTGCCCACCTTTGCTATTTTTGTTCCTATAAATCAGACGTTTTTAATTACCTCATAGAACAGACAGTTTTCACTCACCCAATTCTGTTTATTCCAGGCACTATTAAAAGATCCTGGCTTGGATTTGAATTAAAATGGACTTGTTCATACAATTAAATAGATTTTTAACTCTTTTGCGGTGCTGAAAATCCTTTACCTGATTTGGTGTTCCCTGTCAAAAATGACCAGGCTGTTAA